CTCCACAACTGTCAAGGGTGCTAACACCAACCGATGCCTCTCAGGAAAGCTCTCGACGACATACTTCCTATACTACCCTCTTCGGCGGTGGTACAATACCCCCCCCCCGGTTGTGGGAATACACATTGAAAAAATGCTCAACACGGGGGTGCCATCTCTCGGACTCTCACGGCACTACAACCCCCACAACAATAACATCTTGACGGCTCCCCCACTGTCCTTCGCTGTGGTAAGGAAGGAGCCTTGCAAACAAACACCTGGCTGAGAGCAACAAAAACACAAAAAAACACCCATGTATTCATCATACGACAGCTACATACGCACCCCGTCGGGCTCGGCGTCGACCCAGTTCGCCGGGTGCACGTTGTCCAGAAGCTCCGTGTTGTACTGGTCGATGGGGGACACCCCGATCTCCACGAGCGTGTTGATCATGTCGGCGTCGCGCGACACGACGGCCTCGAGGTCGGCTTGCCTCGACTCCTGCCCGGAGGTGGTGGGGAAGAGGCGGGACGCCAGGGCAGTCCAGGAATCCTGCGACAACAACAACGACAACAACCAACGCGTGCGAGCGACACGATGAACACACCGCACTTGCACGACCAAGTCCTTGAATAGCTTCCGGGCAATGGCAGAAGCTCTCTCGACGATGTATGATGCACGTGTGAGAAGGGGGAGTGAACCGGGAGGTGGTGTCCTGAGGTCAGCAAAAATTGTACAGGAGGCGTGTACCAGGCCCTCAGGTTCAACCAGACGCAAGCTGTGGGCTGGATGCGGGATTGGACGGCATACGACACGGAGGAAACACCTATGTCGCGCGTCAACACACTCTATTGACAGGATCCAACTTTCAGTGAGAACGAAGGGATTAGAAACGACGTATACGTCGTACTGAGCGCGAAAAGGACGCAGATACGACAGAGGTGCAACCACACGGGTTGTAGGCGAGGAGGAAAAAGCGATGCCGCTCGGGCAAGCTCGTGACAAGCTGAAAGCGTGCAGAAGAGACAGGATCAGCCGCCAAACGACGACCAGTTGCAGCTGTTTTTCAAAATGTCAACACCGATCGGATCGCAAGCGCAAACATCTGGGACGCCTTCTACCGTACATTTCATAAGAAATCACACCCCCTAAACCGACTTTCAACGCTTGATTGCTCCGCGACGACGAGGATGCCAAAATCAAACGGTACGTTTTCGGAAAGCTCTCGGACGAGACGGTTCCAACGCCTCCCGCCATTTTCAGCACCGTCGGTGTTTGTGGTGCAGAGAAACCGGGCTTTGAAAATCGGTCCAGGGGGTGTGGTATCTCACGTATGCAACCTACGGTGGTAAGTAGGAGCGATTTCACGGGCATTAGCAGGAGATTCTCTCTCATCCAATATGCAGAAAGCATGCTGAAAAACCCGAAGACCGCATGGAGGTATATGAGGCTGATGGAGTTAGTGGTACCAGGTTCTGGGAGTAGCGCTGCTGCATGCAGTTCCCACGTTCCCACGCACCTTCTTTCCGGACTCGTCGGTTGCAACTCCGCCGACCTTGGCATCCTCGGCGAAGCGGTAAAACAGGCCGCTGTCTTGGAAGGGGTGGTCTCTGGTGACGTGGTGGAAGTAGCCCAGGTCTGTATTTTTAGCATCGTCAAGGGAGTCGGGGGGGCGAGCGCTCGTCGTCATCATCATCGTTGAGAACGGCTTCATTCAGCGTCCTTTCTAAGCTTTAACTCCAAGGAAAGCACTGCTTCTGAAACAACGTTGCTGCTCTCCTTTGGCAACACCAGCACAGGAGGACCTGTTCGGCGCACGCGACAGATCGATTGTCGCACAATACCCACGGGATAGCAGCGTGGTGGCAAGCGAGAACGCGCCAACACACGAATCACGCACCGACGACATACGAAGTCAGACTTTCGATCCGAAACAACTCGCTTTTAGGAACCAAAAGTAACCAGCACAGGGCTCCGTGGATTGTGCATGCCCACATCAAAACCACGACACCTTACGCCTTACCCATGAGGAGGTTGCCCAACGCCACCGCCTCTTCGGTGGAAGAAACCCTGCTGCTCGCCTTGATGAGCCACTGGACGGCATCCTTGCCCACGAAGCACTGCTTGTACGTCTGCGGAGCGCACGGGCAAGTTGTACAGCAGTGTTGTTGTAGTTGTTGTTGTTAGTGCAGTGTTGATGCGCCTGTTCTTCTCCTCCAGGACCAGCTTGTGATACATCCTCTACCCGAATTTTTTTTTGGCCTCCACCCTGCCAGAAAAAGCAATGCCCCCAGAGCTGATCCACCAATACGTAGAACATTTTTTTTTTTTTTTTGTTCTTCACTTCAAATCAGCGCTCACAGCACTAGTGCCGTTTCTTCCAACCCGTGGTCACACAGAAGAGCCTCTCTCCTCTACCCTCCCCTCCTGCGGTACTTCGCCTTCAATTTTTAATGCGAGAAGAGTTCAGCACAGCACTCTCTTCCCTCTGTGTACACACGAACTAGCGCTATCCACTTGGCCAGGAGCAGAAGCGAGAGAAAAACTCACTTTGCAAGAAAAGCTCGCCTACGCCGGGATTCGAACCCCTGACCTGACCTCTAGAAGGTTACGAGGCAACCAACTAGACCACCGGGGCGACCGGCTAGAACATGGGGTCACATCATAGCACTCACCCGCAGCCGATAGGTGCGGTCAGTGATCCGGAGTTCGGCGTGCATCTTGTCGCCGAGCTCCTGGAGAGAACACAACATGCGGACGTGAAGCAGAGAGGGAGGATAAGCACGACAGGCGGAGGTGAAAAACCAAGGAACCCGTTCTCTTACTCGTTACGTACAGCGCATTCACTACTTACAGCAAGGGTCAGGTGGGTGGGCTAAAATTCACCCGGTGGGGGAACGGCTAATTACGGTTTGATAAACTTTTCTTTTTTTATGTCACACGTGCAACGAGATCGGAGGGTCGACGAATCTGAAGCAGCAGTCACGATTTTGGATGCTTAGACTATTCGCCTCAAGATTGATCGCCATTGCTATAGTTGCAGCTCTGACACATCCAAGCATAGCAATGGGCGGGTTGTAGAATATAAGTCGTACATGTTAGGGAAACCAAGGTCAAGGTGTTGGCCATGTGGACTGCTGAATATGGCCGCATTTACTTGGTCGACAGAGACGAGGCCCACATTGCACTCAGTAGCATCGTCAAAGGGCGAGTCGGTGTCTCTTGTAGTCCAATCAAGAACCTCACTCTGCTGCTGTTAGTAAAACTGATGTGTGAGGTATCATACGCATACGACGGCGCCCGTTGCGAGGACAACGACAGGTCGTTGCAGGGCGTCGGGTGGAACATGAAGCAATGTCCGCGAAGAAATGCGGGCGCGTGTGGGTTCCATCTAAAGGAACATAATTATCGGGTGAGCCAAGCGAATCACACACAGCCTAACCCTCAGCGCGAAACATAGGCAGGCACTGCTGGACCAAATACCCCACGACCAAGCTGGTTGCTTGGAAGTCTAGCAGAATGCATGACCAAAACGTGCCGTCGAGGTTGCAACACGGAGCTTTGCACATGTCACCAGAGCAGGAAACCAAGAGGCACCTACTGCTGTGTACAATGGAAACGCGTACCTTGATCTCGTCTTCGGTGATGTCTTCCCCCGGGAGCACCTCGGCCACCTTCGACATGTCCTCCATGCTTTATGGCTTTGTCGGAACAGATACACTCGCTGCTGCCGCTTGTGTTGGTGTAGGTATAGGTGCGGGGTGGCTAATGAGCAGCAGGCGACACGCGAGATGCAGTCAGAGACGGAGCACGCGGGGGAATATTCTCGAAGACAGCCCGGTAACTCGGTACAAAAACGGCCCGATCACCCATCGCGGAGACTGCTGTCGTTGTTTACGGAGATGGCGTAGATTGTTGATCCTGTGCGCAGTGCGCAGTGCGCCAAGGGGGATTTGAGATTTGAATTGATACCCGTTCCACAAAGTGCTTCGTCTCCCCCACCTTTCCCCTCTCTATCCTCCCTCAACCACCAGCCTCTCTTCCCCTATGCGTCCATCCGTGCACACCACACCACAGCAACATCGCATCAACCAACACGCAAGTCTACATGGAAGAATACGATTTTTTTTTCGACACAACGAATCTATCTCTATCATATACTGTAAAAGAGTCTGAGACAGATTAGCAATTAAGGAATAATAAAAACACACACAGAAAGACTAGACTACCCATTCGAGATATACCCACAGTCGAACGGGATGTATGTGATGTGGTGAAGGAGTCTCTTTTCAGTGATCAATGAACTCATCGCGTCAGAAAGTACCGGTATGTCTACGATTTCCCAGACAGCATTGTAAGGGACATCTCCCCTGCGGATAACAGATCTTTTGAATTTAAATCATCCGCAGGCTCTCAAACGATTGTCAACCATCGTTTGGTTCGTTTGGAGCAACTAAAAGCTATATATATATTGTATATGTTGACTCACCACGGCGAGAAGTTCAAAGCTTAATATCCGCAGTACTTCTGAGGTGCACTCTCCACCCGGCGCCCCTGAATCTTCGAGACCGTGACTTGAACACATGTATGTTGCCCCCTTGAGGGGTTGTCGCGGGTGGTCCTGCGTGTAGGATGAACGCCCTCCGCGTCTTTGTGTGATGAGTAAGTAAGTTAGTGAGGTCGTCAGGCGAGGGGGGCTCAAAAGACTCACATTTCCAGCGTCGCGCAGCAACACCGGGAAGCGAGGCAACTGGCTGCAGCTGGTGCATGATTTGATGATTTGTCGCTGGCCGATATCTAGACTCACGCGGCCGTGATACTGTACAACGACACCTTCAATAAGCAAGCAACTCAGTCAGGGAAATGTGTCAAAGACAGCTATTATTATACCGAGCTGTCAAAGAGAGCTAGGGACCTCTTATATTTGCCGGAGCTTTATCCTTATTTTTTTTGTCCACGGCGACTACATGTTTACCATAATAATACATGTAGGGTTTAAGGAATAATAAAAACACACGGTTTAACAATAACCCTAAAAGAGTAGGCTTCTTGACAAAGCACCTGTACGTATTAGAAAAAAAATATCACTTAGTATGTGCTTATGGCCAAGTTCTTTAGTGCGGGCCGCATCGATTGGTATCTGCTAGACCTTTGGCCACCCAAACTAGACCAATCAAACGCCGCACATTTATTTAATGCCCCCACAACGCGAAGATCCTGATACAGCACGCCAGAGGGCAATCCCATAGCTACAAACATCACCCAGTCATCCTTTGCAAAAAATCAAAGAGGGTCACCATCTGTCTGTGTAGTAGTGAACCGCGTATGCATATATAGTCTATCTAGCTGACAGTGCAAACCGGCCTACGCCCATCTGAGCAATTGGCGTCCGAAAAGCGCAGAGCCTCGATGTTGTTGTTGTTGCCTTCACAATAAATAATAACCGTACGTGGCGCTAACTGACGCGAACGCCTTCTTCCGTGGCCAAAGGACAAACACACGTGCACACTCAAAAATGGTGCATAGACTATATATGCTGAAAATAATCAACAAGAAACATAACAGATCACAAGAAGCCCCAGGAGACCAACGAGTGCGGAAAAAGGACGATAGAGACAGGAAGAGGGGCCATCGAGCACAAGAAGAAAGAGAACCCATCACTCCCGCTCGGAACACACGATGCCAAGCAGAACAAAACTACAGTCTTCGAAGTAATAAGAATCAAACATCACAAACCAAGGCAACACAGCAGTACGAGTCGCCTGATTCTATCCTTGTACCCCAACCAGGCCGGGATGTTATTTGCTGCCAGGGCTTCACTGACCAAAACCACCCCACCCCCCCACACGTACACACAAAAGAGTGCGTGGGATCGGAAAACACCAGCGCTTGGCCTGTACGTATGTATCCGTCTTTCCTTACGTCATCTACCCAATCACGCAGCCACCCCGTCATGGCTCGGCGGTACGAGCCCCACGTGCCAACGTCAAGTTCCCGAACCCATACGTCAGGCTGCTCTGCTTCGTAAATACCCAGTCTCGTGGCAGTCAAGTCCTGCACTTACCACGTACCACGTATGTCAGGGTGCGACAATGTACAGTTGGCAACAGCAACACCGACAACATAGAACAACAACAACAACGTACATACGTTCCCGGCCGGTACCAACGAATGCCATAGATTTTCTGTGCACATCCAGGAGGGCAGAATAATAAAAAATAATGGCCTAAGAGCAAGCCGCCCGGCAAAGTCAGTGGTTCCGGGGCGAACATAACAATGCTCCTGGGCGTTCTCTAAGAGGTTTGGGGTTTGGGGGCTTCACCAGTCGTACCGTACGTTTGGGGAGGGGGGGGGGGGGGGGGGGGGGGTTTCCAGGGGGGAGCCCCCTTTTCTTTTTTAAAAAAACCCCCCCGAAAGGGGGGGGGCCCCCCCTTTTAAAATTGCCAAAAAACTTTCTTTTTTTTTTCCCCTTTTGGGGGCCCAAGGGGGGGGAAAAAAACCCCCCCCCCCCCCCCAATATAAAAAAGGGGAAAAACGGGGTTTTCTTTTTGTACCAAAAAAACTATGGGGGGGGGGGGGGGGGGGGGTTCCCCCCATTTCCGGGTTTTGGGAAACCACCGGGGGGGG